CTTGGTTAAGTTTTTAGTACCAGTCCACTTTTTGACTGAACTGTTTGAGATATTAATTTGAAAGTTGGAATACTTGTTTACAATCATGATTCCCAAACATGTCCAGGAGAAGGTAATTCTGTCAAAGATTTTATTTGAATTATGGCCCTTAACTGTCAATGTTTTGTATTATAGGCAAGCACTAAAAAACTTAAAAAATCTAAAAAAATTCATTCCTATCCACTTGTTCACTTTACCATAAATTATGTCATATAAACATTGCTGCAGTGTTCAAGGGTATCACACAATTCAGTAAAATAATTCTTCACTAAATATCTTAATGCTCATGGCCATTGTTCACTTTAAAAATACAGAGATTCTTGTATTGCCTTTTACTGCAAAAACTTTTTTTATTGGCAAGCAATAAAAAAGTCGAGCGCGCTGTCTTACGGACAGCTCTTGTTATTATCACATTACATGACTTTTTACTTTGTCAAACATTTCTGTTTGTAATGGATGACTTTTAAAAAAATTTAAATGTTTAAACTGAAGTATTAGGCAAGAAATTTGTGATTTCAATAAATAGTTTTATAAATTTATCTGTAATCTTTTAACATGTGTTTGTGATTATTCTGAGAGAAACCTAAAAGTAAAGAATAAATGCATCTGTTTACCATTCATTCATGCAAGTGCAGAGTACTTGCTCTTCTAAAACATTTGATGGAAGAATATTCATTAAGTCATTAAACAAACGTATTTTATGGACTGACAAACTCTAAATTGCAAATCAAATATTTGAGAGTTTTGCTAAATGACTCAGAACGACCAAATATTGACTATTATATCAGGTATTGTATAGCAGGTGACAAGTATGCCACTGTTATACATAATCTCTTCTTTACTCCTCTTTAATGTTATTTATATTTCTATATAAACTGTCAGCTAGTATAATTCCACAATTTATAAAACAATAATAATCTCCCTGTGATCTGGTTTGGATAGATTATCTCTAGTATAAACAAGAAGGTGTTACAAATCTTCGAGATTATATCATTTTAACACAGCTACACTTAATATTTTCATCTCAGATCATATATAAATCTATTGACACATAGTGTGTAAATAAGAAATTACGAACATTGAATGAAGAATTAAAAATATTTTTTTTTTTTCGTTGAGTTTGAAATCACGCTGACACTGTAGATTTCAGGCCCCATTGGCAGGAGGCAACTGGCAACAGAGTAGAACAAATTGCCTTGGTGGATAACTTCCTCATATGAAAGATACCAAAGTCCCTGGTAGGATTTGAACTCATGGCAGTTTCGGGGCAAGTGATTTGAAAGTAGTGCCTGCTCAACCATCCAAACAAAAAATTTAAGAGCATGGGTACATATAAAACACACACATACAAGAATGTAAAAGGTGGTATTGTGAATTGTCACAAAACATGGCCCATTATAAACCACTGTAAAACAAAGGTACAAGCAGGTAGCTGACCAGGATACTCAGTGGGTTTCTGTAGGTAACCTGATTGTTACATAATGCACTTTCTCCCCTATTAAAGGGACTCCACTGAGGTTTTTTTACATGACGGAACTGGAAATAATTTTTTGAGATTATTACTCCATTTGATTTAGATCTATACCAATAACTTATGTGCAAATTTTCAGATCATTAGCTCACTCCGTTTTTCCAGAATAATTATTATAATAGTGAAAAATGACCCAAAATTGAAAAGCGTTAACGCTTTTCACTCAAATCAGACTAAAATTAGCTCAGACATACGATTTTTAATATATTTCTTATATTTTTCTTAATTATATCTTATTTATGTTTCTGTTTTAAGTGCTCATGTTTATCTACGTGAAAAATTAAGATTTTATGTTTTTAGGCTTATAAACCTCAGTGGAGTTCCTTTAAGTAAACAATTTTATAACATAACAATGTCAGCTATAGCTGTCTAATTATGAAAGTATTGTAGGACTATAAATTTTAAAGAGGTTTCTAGCGCTACTGCAAATTTTTACATAGGTAAATCTGAAAAAAATTGCAGTATTCCCTTTTAAACGTCTTAAAGTAATGCACATAAAGGCATTAGAAGTCTGCATTCAACATGTAAGTTAGAATTACTTCAAAGATGACATTTGGCTGTATGTGACACAAAACTCGGTGAAAAAAGAAAAAAAAAGGAAGAAAAAAAGAAAAGAAATAGAACAATGTTAAATTTTAATTGTGAAGGACATGAACATGTGATCATTCATGTTTTGATTTATTATCTTATCTGGTGCTATAGACAATTGTAGGATATCTATTGGACATTATTGTATACACTTAAACTCCATTAAACCCTTTAAATAAGCAGAATAAACAAACAGAAAACTGTTAACCAAATATTTATTGAAATATCTAGAATAGCGGAAATCTTGCCAAATTTGCATAATACTGTTCAATAATGACTTGGACAGGATTTGTTTAGCTCTTCATGTACAGATATAAACTGTGAATAACTTATCACACTAATCTCAACTGTTGGCAATTATTTTACAATCACCTGCTTACATTCAATGATTAGATATTGATGATTTTAAAAATGATAAAGGGGGGTAATTATGACAACATTTTAGGGACTCTGTGTCCTCTGGGAGCTTGATAAGTGTGATCTGTATCAGATAAAAGGCTGCAGTTGAGACAGTAATTAGCCAGTGATTTTGTTGTGTTGTGTTGACAAAGTATTAAAATGATATCACATTATGTAAGGATTTGCTGGGGCCTTGATTTGAACAGTGTGATAAGGGGGGCAGCTGGCTTCTAAACACTTCTGTTGAGCAGAATCTTAAAAAAAGAAAAAGAGAAAAAAGACTGACACTTGTGATCAAACAAGAGTCCATCCCAAAAGAACATAATTTTTATGATGCTTAAAAAATTAAAAAAAATTGTTAAAGCATCTTTTATAAAGAATACCTCTTTGATATCATTAACCAAATTTATTTTGTTTAAATAATAAAAATTCCTTTTTCCTGTGTGTGTCTGTGAAGTAACATGCAAGTCTGATTTTTTGTTGTGTTTTTTAAATTTTAATGAAGCTTTGCTTTTAAAATATGAGCCATATAAGAACTTTGGCATGTAATCCTGTTTAAACCTTCCATTTTATGTTCCTTTCATGTTGTCTTCTTGATTAATTCAGTTGATTTATTATGTCTTTAATTTTGAATTAATAAAAGATTTTCACTAATTAATTCCTGTTATTTTCTTTATTTCAATATTTTGCGAGTGAAACCAGAAAATTGACATGTTTTATATGAAGTGTTTATTCAATTAGATAACATTATGGTCAGTGTTGTTTTTTTACATCAAATAATTAATTTTAGTGTTTCAGTCTTAACGAGGTACTGTTGGACACACCTTTATAAAATTTTGTAATGGGACAATAAAGTCTTCATTTTAATTTTGATAGGAAGGAATTCAGTAAACACCCATGATGATTATTCTCATTTTGTACAAAAGTATGATGCAGGATTGTAAAAGGTATACCATAAAGCTGGCACAAACCTCAGTGCAATTTTAAGAAGATTGTGATACTAGTGTATTACACTTGCGGATGCATGCAAGAAAATCAGGAATTGTACCAAAAGCTCTCAATGATTATCTTGCAATCTTAAAATCATTTTTAAATGTTTGATTAGTCCTGCAGTCACTAGTCTAACCAAAGAAAAATATATATTTATATTTAGGATATATTTGTCACTTTTCGTGTGGGTTGGTTTACTTATAAATTGATTTATACTTGATATGAGAAATATTTCAGATTGAATCAAAATATTTGTTAATGTTGTTGTTTTTTTTTTGTTGGTTGGGTTTTAATTAAGTCACACCAACACAGGAAAAGTCATATGGGGACTTTCCACAGCTTTACTTGTGGAGGAAGAATTTAGGTGTCCTTCTGTAGGAAAAGGCACTTGAGTAGAGCCACTGTCGTAAGCTAGCTGGATAGCTTTATCGCATAAAAGAATCCAAAGTCCATGCCAGGATTTGAACCCACAGCAGTGAGGGCACAAGTGGATTGAAATCATCAACCTTAACCACTTGGCCATAGACGCCAATTTGTTAATGTCAAAGTTACTAAATTTATACACTTTATGAATGAAGACTGTATATCATTAATATGTAATACCTGTTACAAAGTTTAAACATGTTGCAGATCTGTTTTAAGAATCATTGTGGGGGGTCACATCTTTTAACAGCACTACACATGCCCTGGTAAATTGTTTGTTAGAAAACAATGAGTACATTATATGACCTTATATTTTGACCTGCTGTCTGCAGGTAACCAGAAAATGTGGTACAGAATTCGGTATGAGGATGTGCCAAGTTAAATTTAATAAATAGGACTTATTAATATGGTGCCAGAACTTTTAAATGCAAGGCGTCTGCTCGGTTTTTCAAATTTTTAATATTTAATTTCATTATTATTTTGATTTGCAATACAGAAGAAATCTTGAACTAGTGTAAATATTTAGAGTTAAATTTTCTCTAAAATTCCCCGCAAGTTTAATGTAAATATTTTAAGTTTAAGGTATTCATGCCCATAAAATGACATATTGAATGAAGATATTTAAAATAATCAAAATATAGTAAGTCAGTGTAAAAACAGCTAAGAAAACTGACTAATGTAAGATGCCCAATCCTCAACCCAAATGTTTGTTTTCTTTGGAAATTAAAATGTTTCAAGCATATATAGCATGAGTGGTTTAAAAGTAATAGTTATATTGGTTTCGGTATTTAAACCATAAAATTATCCAGCTCAGTAATAAGCTTAAGTTGTCGAAGGACATTTATGCCTTTATAACATAAAATTTTTGTGAAAAGGAGAAATAGCTTTTATTATTGGTAGGTCTTAAAACTCATTTACTCATAATATCTTCAATACTCCAGTTGGAAAAATGTTGTACAGCACAAATTGGCCTGTGAGAAAATGCAGACATCTGATTGGTCGAGAAGGATCCATGTTCATTTCACACAAATCTGTCAGTCAGTCGTTCATTGAACAGCAGTTTGAATAGTAGGGTGTCTGTTGAGCTCAGAGAGAAAATAACAGCATGTAAAATATAACCTTATAGTTGACAGTGGATGTACAATAACATATCTACATATAAAACAATCATATTCAAAAATTACTGTGTGATATATAAAGGTGGATTTAGAAAAAGGTATTTTAAGCACATCACTTTTTACATTCATGCATTTGTCCCTGTAACTTTATTTGAATGGATGTTAAATAGAGTGTTGAGACATTATTGAGATAGGCTATCTATTGATGTAATATTTGTTGTATGTGGGAAAGTAAGGATGTAATTGAGTCTGATAGTTTGATATATAAATCACTGGATACATTATCACACACTAGCAAACCTTAGTGTAAATTATTGGATGTTACCACTGGAGTAAAATCACAATATAAACAGTTTGTATATATATTTTATCATATCTATATTTTATATATCAATGTGTTTTAATATTCAAACTACTTTTGTAAATTTTTGGCTAAAAAGAATAATGAGCGTTTATGAAATTTATAAACTTGACAATTTTAGGTTTATACTTGTTAATTCTGCATAGATTTGTTGTTACATGTATGTTGTTATATATTACATGAGATGTTGATTGTGTAATAACCACTTCAGAAAGTTATTTCTTACTTAAACATTCTTGATATTTTATGTATAAATATATATATACAATGTATATAAAATACAGTTTTAGATTTACATGATTTTATCTGGGGTACAAATTAGATTTTGCCAAAATTTACATAAGTTTTATTTCTAACAATTATTTGAAAGATTCTTAAGTTTTTAAAACTGATATTTTTATACGTATCACAGATTTTGCGGAATGGCCCTGAAATAGATTCAGACTGTTATATTTAATATATTTAATGATGCTTATAATTACTTATTAAATTACTAATTCATCTATCAAATTTAAAATTTTGGATAACAAGAGATTTTTCAGAAATTAAAGCAATTTAAGCTTTAAAGTACAAAATTTATGGAAATGAATTCTGATTCCAACTTTATTATATCATTTGGTATTCTCATTATACATAGTAATTTAATATTGATAAAAACAAAACGTTGACATGAATACCGGAAAGGCCATCATACTGTTTTAGACAGTACCGATAGAATTTTAAAAAGTTAAAAGACAAATTCAGACAAGTAAAATTTGATGGTTAAGGAAAGTTAAGTGACGGTTTGAGAGAACATGTATACTCAGGGGTTCAATTAAGATCTTATGTTGAATGTCAACAGGCACACAACTTACTTACTTACTTTCATTTAACTTCCCGCTGGAATTAACTCGAGACTTCGAGAAGAATTCACAGTTTTTTCAAGCTTAACACGTGTATATTCTGTCTATATATTATCTTAGATATACAGTATGTATATATCTTATTTTTTTAATTTTTTTATTTTGAATTATTTTATGTAATACACTTTATTTATCTAAAATACAATTTGATTTTTCCTCTTATTTGAATTAATCTATTTTCGTTTGGTATCTAAAAACAATTAGAAGAAAATATTTTTTGAATGTTGCGTAATTAAAATAACATTAAAACCGCCTTTTAAATGATTTTGTCAGCTAAAACAATTCGGTGTAGTGCATTTTAATGATTTAAATGATATGATTTAGTTACCAATAGCGACATGTGATTAAAGTTTGACAATATAATAACAGATAGCAACATAGAATCATAGCTTTAGAATAAAATGAGCCGGGTCATGACAAAACCAACATAATGGGTTTGCGACCAGCATGGATCCAGACCAGACTGCGCATCCGCGCAGTCTGATCAGCATCCATGCTAATCGCTTACAGACCCTATAACAAGCAAAGAAACTGATAGCGAACAGCATGGATCCTGATCAGACTGCGCGGATGCGCTGGCTGGTCTGGATCCATGCTGGTTGCAAACCCACTATGTTGGTTTTGTCATGACACGGCTCAAATATTGTGAAGCGTTTAAATAGCTCACTAATTGATATTGACCAAATTATAACATCAAGATAAACAAGCTCTCTATTGATCCTCTACTAGTAGAATTGTACAGCGGAAATGAAAATATTGAAAAACGAATTTAATGAAAAAAATGCGGAGTTATTTATTCCTTGTTTAAGCAGTATAATTAAAGGGGATGTGTACAGTGTCAGTTACGGACAGGTAAATTTGTCCCCTGGGGTTGAAATACCTTTTTGTTTAGCAAATATTTGATGCACTAGCTATTTTAGTATTGTATTTCTTTAATGTAACTGGCTAATAAAACAACTTGTTAAGCATTGAGAATATAACATTACTGGTATAATTTGTGAAACTTTTTTTTTTGTCCTAATTTGTTTGTCTGAACAGCTATCTTATTGCATGTTAAACACAAATATTTTCGTAATAATCTTGTTTTCAACAATCAGACATCAACTTATGTATGCTAAAAATTTGTTTTATATAAATGAAACAAGACAAACCGGTTTGAAACACGTTATCAATTTAAAGGAAACACAATACTTTTTCTATATAATGTAAATTAGTTTTAGCCTCTTTGGAGAACTTTGCATTTTGCATAATAGAAGACCTATAATTTCACCATTATTGAAAGTACCTTATTGCCAGTTTGGCTAAAAGCTGACAAAATTTCAGACAAGAACTTTTATTTTAATGTTGGTACAAACTTAGTTGACTACACATATATAGACTTTAATATTTTGATAAAGAATCTCTCTTATTAACAATGGACAGGTTCAAAATTCAGTGTAGCATCACACAAACTAAGCATGCTATGGGTTAAAGATTAGAAAACATGAAATAATAAATCAGAGTTAAAGTATACACACATGATACCCATTTTAAACTGCTTGTAAATTCTCAGAAGCTCAGTTTTCCTCCCGGTTCTCTCTATTTAATGCTGATTAAAACATCACAGTTTTCACAATCCTTCATCAAAATTTAATAAACTAACACATAAAATCATATTAAATCATACTGTGCCAGATTGAAGGAATTATAATTTGTGGATTTTCAGATTTTAGATGGTGTGAACAAATTTTATGATGATATTTGTAGAGTTAATCAAATGCTTGAAGTTATATCATTTTATTGTCAAATAATTAAAATACCGTGAGATTGAAAAAAATTATAACCCTTAACCTATGAATTTCTTAAATGAACTTGTCCAGCTTGTCTGTTATCATTTTATTTGTCAGTGCCTCTATTTTCAATGCCAAGTAATGAAAAAAATCTTTTTTTCAAAAGTTTGGAATGGTTTTCAATGATACTAGTAGGCTTGACCACCATAAACTATAACAAGCTTGTAACGTCTGATATATTGGACTAACTTAAAGTATGTTCTGTTGTAGACAATATGTGGTTGTCAACTGTTAATTTACCTGTAGATCCATGTTCCGATATGGGAGTGTTTTATATAATACTTGAAAAACCCAGTATCTGATGGTGTAAATGGATGCCAGCATTCACCAGATCATAATATTGTCATATCAACAGATACCTGCGATGTGTGAAAAGCAATCAAACAACTGACCATAATAAAGTAATGATTTTCTCTAAATATGATATTGGTGACAACAAATCCCAACAGTTTCTATGGAAATATATAACTACATCATAACATCTGGTCATAGAATACTTATATAACCAGTTAGCGCTCAATTACCAGTTCATGATATGTTGAGGAATATTTCTTCAAAATTAACTTTATTTCCCAGATTTTTGTTAAATATGATACAGTATGAGTACAGCCATCCTATGCATACAGCCAATCAATACTATGATATCCGGGATATCCTGCCTTTCTTAGGGCCTCATACCAGTGATATTACATCTTAAATATTTACCTTAAAGTTTGTATTAGGCTTGTGTGTCTTACCTTTTGAATTTATATAATATTATTTATTTATAATTCATGATGAAAGCTTTTTGTCTATGGATTGAATATTCAAAACTATAAGTTTCATTCACAACATAGATACAACTTAATTTGAGATATGAATGATGATGATGATGATTGTGGTGGTGATGATGATTGTGATGATGGTGGCGATGATAATGTAGATATTTTTATATGATGACATATGTTATTGCGATAATATTACTGTATATCTATCAATCAGTCAACTAATGCATGAGTTAAAATTGATTAGGAAAGTTTCAACAACAAAAAAATCATTGTATGTGTAGTATGTGAAGAATAATCATAGTAATCATCACAATATGATGGTGTACATAGTTCAAGTACAATCTTTGAGTTGTTACTGTATCTTTGTCTTTTACTTTGTATCTGTGTCAGTGATATTTAAAATAACAAGTAAAAGCTTCATGTACAATTAAAGTCAGTGTAGACAGTTCCTGCCCACACAGATAGAACATGTGGGTTTATTGATACATCTATGGAAGAATGCTCAATGTTAGAAAATGTGTTTAAAATCTATCAACAGTTTTCGGTTTGCCAAAACCAATAACTCTTTGTTTGAAGTCTACAGACTTAATAACCCTGCAGACAAAATTCTAAAGACATGTTCCATGTGTTTCAAATTTTAAAACAATATATATGTAGATCTTCTAGACAGTTTATGTGACCAGCTATTGTCACTAGTTATGAATATTATTGGCAATGGTTATGAAAAGTTATTGGCAATGGTTATGAATAGTTAATGGCAGTAGTAATGAATAGTTATTGGCAGAAGTTATGAATAGTTATTGGTAGTAGTTATGAACAGTTATTGGCAATGGTTATCAGAGGAATAGTTATTGGCAATGGTTATGAACAGTAGGGTAATTGGCAGTGGTTATCATAAGAATAGTTATTGGCAGTGGTTATGAACAGTAGGGTAATTGGCAGTGGTTATCATATGAATAGTTATTGGCAGTGGTTATCATAAGAATAGTTATTGGCAGTGGTTATCATAAGAATAGTTATTGGCAGTGGTTATAACCACATTATTTTTCAATGGATATGACTATTGTCAGTTATTAAATTATTACCAACTATTGTTAGTGGATATGACTAGTAATTGCCAGTGAATGTAAGAAAGTTTTGTTGGTGGGTTACACTAATGTGAGAGGATATTAAGAGTTTCTTTCTAAGTTCATACCAAGCAGCCATCTTGTCAAAGATCTGTTGCTAAAGTCTCAGTGTAAGGGAAGTAAACTAAAGAAATTTAATTAGAATGAATTAATGAGACGCTGGCTAGGAAGTGAACTTGATTAAATGAACTGATACGAAAGTTTACTCCTTATTGATACTGATATAATAAGCTTAATAAGATATATTTATAAAATAGGAAATATTTTTTTATGACAAATATAAGAGCTACTTCAAAACAATCGTGACATTTTTGGATTATATCAGATCATGGTAAGAAGCACTTGACCACAGTTTTTGATGAATGGAAAC